TGGTCGAGGATGGTTGTTGACCACAAAACTGAAGTTGGTGTTTGGTTTGGGACAAATAATGGCTATTTATGCTTCATGTCACCTTTAATTGCGATAAGTTTGTTTGAAGTTGGCATTAGCAGTTTGTCTGTTTGCTTGGAAGTTTGCATTGGCAGTGGATTAACATTGAAATTTTGCATTGTCATTGATATTAGGATTGAAATCTTGAATTGATATTGACACTAACATTAGAATGTTGCACTAGCACTGACAAATGAAATTTTGCATTGCCATTGACACTGGTAGAATTTTGTATTGAAATTGGCACGGACCATCAGCATAAGTTTTCTTCTTGACAAACTTATCTTGGTTAATATAAGATTTTCGAACCTTCTAATTATCTGAATTGATGTACAAATTTTAACATATGACATGCATGCAACTAAAACGGGAGAAATTGGGAATTACCGAACTACATGCAGACATATACTGATTCATGTACATTACAGATTATACCTTGCTTATAGTATTCATTATCTTCAAATAACAGCGATAATACCACAAAATATATTTATTTGTTTTTATCTTATATGTCTACGTAATGCGTGTTTGGTTGCATGCACGTGAGGTGGTAGAGATGAGTGTGACATTCTCACACAATGATAAAAGTTACCTCTTTTCTTTTACTTTTTCGTCCTCCAATATCTTTTACATTATGCTCTTAGACTCCCCTAAATGTCCATCTCTTTCATCTTTCTTTTGCACGGTTTTCCACCCTTGCCCATCTGCATATATCTTTCATCTTTTGCTACAGAGAAGCCTTTGGACATTTAGTTACACAACAAAATACAAAATCCCCCAAATTTTCTACCAAAAATTTCCTCTTTAGTCTGGTCCTATTTTCCAAACCAGATAGACTGATCATAGGAATGTGGGAGATATCATTGAGAGTGGAGAATATGATCATGAATTCAGTATTCAACGGACTGTAGTGGAACTGTGTTGCCAAACTGCAAATTCACGACTGATCAATTATTATGTAAACTCTAACCCAAGCTAACAGGCTCTCGAAAAACCTTAGTAACCTTAGTCCAAGTATTACCAAGTTAATTTCTTTTTGAAAAATGGCAAGGATGTGTTAATGGTGTTAGTTATCTTTTCTTTTCCGTTAAGAAAAAGGAAATTACAATACAAAACTCCGATCACAACTAAACCTAAACAACAAAAAATTGAAGGTTGAAAGAGAAGTCAGCGTCCCAAACATGAAAAAAATTTAATTTGTAGGGAGTGATCAAGAGAAGTCAACACATCTGTCGTGAAATTTGCCTCTCTAACAATATGTTTGAAAAGAAGCAACCAGTGTTGGATTTTCTCTTTGGATTTGCCTCTCCACAATAAATTTGTCAAATGTGAATGTTGCATGGTGAATTTCAACCCACCAGAAAAAAAGAATGTGCATTTTCTTTTGCTTTAAGGGTAAATAAACTCGAAGATAGAAAACACTCAACAGTGACAGTTGTAAATGAACTTTGGTTATGAGAATAACTATACTTAGAATTTGCTAGTATTGCTACCTAACTACCGTCTACTTCTGAAATTTCTAGCCTTGTGTCGTTGCCTGGTTGAAGATGAATTTGCATAAATGCAGGTTCTCTAGGAAGAGAAGAGCAATTGTTTCATGCTTAGCATTAAAACAACATCGGACATGCTTGGTCGATCCACGGCTCTTTCTTGCACGCACAAAAGTCCCATCAGAATTTCTCTCATGACTTCACTAATTGAACAAGAAGCAACCAGTGTTGGATCCATCAACTCCATGCTCTTGCCTTCTTTCCAAAAACTCCCAGCCTAAAACAATCAATTTCACAAATCTAATTAATTAGCAACAAATACATTGACATATATAGAAAGTAATTGGAAATATAGATGGAGTTGAGGGGTTTATTTAGCTTACTCTGCCAAGTAAGTTTAGAGAATGATCTATCTCAAAGAAAGCTGTATTATTCTTGCCACTTATTATCTCTAATGAGATCACTGCAAAAATGAACAGATCAGGTTTTTCAGAAAAAGACCATCCATGGCATGCTCTGAAAACACGAAACACGTACTAACAATCAAAGGAGTTAATACTCAACAAGCTACATAATTTTTTTGGAAGAAATTAACCTCAAGGTGCGATAGTGAAATTTATTGAAATATAATATAAAAAGTGAAGAAAGTTGAGGTTACACTATAAAACCGATTGGTAATATGGAGAGTATAGCCAAATTTACTTATAACCATGCAAGATCCCTCCTCTCATCAATGTGGGATTCATTTTTGACAATAAGTTACACCTAGTCAAGTGGCTACATAAACCTTACCTCTCAAGAAAAAAAAAATACACAAAACAAAAAAATAAGGAAAACTAACGAAAAGTCCAAAAAAAAATTCTTTTTAATGAAAAGCCATTTTTAAAGGTATAGTGAATAGTACCAAGGAAATGTATAAATGTGGTTTTTCGTTAAAAGTGAACAGTACCGGGAGTGTTTTGTTAAAACTTCCAAAAAAAAAAGGAGGGACATTAAACTCACAAAGCTACGTAAATTCTCTCTGTTTTGTCACCTCTAATTGGTGCAATGATAATGAATAAATTGAAGCTTAGAACTTAGAGGTCTCGATGAAGACACCAGCCATATATAGGAGCTCTACGTAGCTTTTATTGTGAAATTGAATTTCTACGATTAAACAAAATCTTGAGTGATTCTTAAACTGCTTTTCAACACAAACTCAATTGCTCTTTAGCAAAGTCTTCTTACACTTTAGCTACAATTTCAAAGTCTTCATTTGGAGCAAAAACTGCCTATGATTCGGTTGATGTGCAATTTCAACTACCCTAATTTCCTCTCTATGGCACATATTTTATACTAAGTTCAATCTAACTTCAGTGATCTCAATGGACTTTTTGTAGCATTATTTTGCCCTTCATGGCCTAAACATTGCTAGAGTTTTACTACTTTCTTTCCGTTTCCAGTTAATTTAGATTTCAAGTTACATAGCTCGGCCATCGGCCTAGATTTTACTTTTGTGAATGTTTGTAATCTTGATTCCATCGTAAAAAAAATTACATTCTATTTATGTGAAATCTTGATATATATGTGCTGACCCTAAAAACTACCAAGCGTACGCGGCACGCAGGCCGAGTAATCTATAAGCTAACTACATCATTCGATGAATGCGGGGCGTGCCAACTCGTTGGCCGAGCTCGGCCGAGGAGTAAATTTGTTGATGTTGCGTTGGGTGTGCGGTTGACTTCTGCGTCTTACGATTGCGACCGAGGAATGAAGACGTCTCGGCCTCTTGGGTTCTCGAACCTGAAGACAAGGCTACTATTTTTACGAAGTTCACGAATCGTCATCGTCGGATTCGGTCACAGTGATGTTATTCGTCAGAGTAAACTCACGCCGAATCGACACCAAAGTGTAAGGGCACAAATACTCAAAGCGAATATAAGTCTTAATAGTGAACGTGGTTCGGCCGTCTGAATGTCAAACTCTAAATCCCACTTGAGAGTATCCAATCATAAAATAACTCGGCGTGCAATGCGCCGAACTCAGTAAACTGTAACACCTCACTTCGCCAAGAAGGCTAATGAGATGACCTCAATCAATAAGGATTCGGAAATCCTTCTCGACCGAGACTTGGATAGGTAACCAACCGTCATCGCCGCAGTGTTGTTGATGTTAACGGAAGATGCTGCGAGATCGGCTAATTCTACGGCGACAGAGCTATCTATGCCAACTTAAGATATCACCGGTTGCTTTCACAGTGCTGTTAATGCCAACGGAAGATGTGTCAGCAAAAAGAGAAAACAAAAATCTCAAAGTTGTTGAGAGAATTTGCGCAGGGCAGTTGTGTGTTGAATTGGAAGGGCCTCGAACGATGTACATCCTCCTCTATTTATAGCACTGGATACCTTCAAGGTTGAGTTAAAAACCTACTCGGATTAGGACTTCTTCTCCTGATCAAACACTAACTCGACCAGTCCTATTTTCACTATAATTGTGAACCTAGTCCTTTATTGAGCTGGATTCACTTCCGGGTTATGAATCTTGCTGAGACTCCTCATTGCACCAGGATTCGTCATGCAGCATGACTTAACCGACCCAGGTTTGGAAGCCCATGACCTAACCGATCCAGAACTAAACGATCCCTGCTAACCCTGTCAAAAGGCCTTCTGGGCCGAGAATAATTCTATACTCGGCCCAAACTGATATTTTGGGCCCAAACAATATGATATCAAAGCATGTTAATTGACTGCATCCAAATTGAGTATTTACTTTGACTTGCTGAAACTATGGAGTTTACTACCTTGTCTTACTGTTGCACTTAAATGACCAACGTAGAATAAGTTGCACATGTGTGCAACTATGCAATGGTCTCGCGTGAGAGGTCATGTTGAAGAATACAAGAATCTCAAATTGGAAAATGGACAAAAAAAAATTACAATACATATAACTAGATGGAGTCAACACGCAACGTTGTGTAAATATAAGAAATAAAAAAATTTATATAAAAAATCAGATTAAAAATAGTTGGTATAATTACTATATTATCCTTAATTTTTATGTTTATTATTCAATTTATCAAGATTGATAAGGGCATAAAGGAAATTTTACATTTTTTGATTGTCAAAGAGGGTTTTCCTAATAATAGTATAGATAAATGATTACATTTTTAATGACACCAAAGCCTTTTGTGGTAAAGTTATGGTCTACACCTGCAATGATCTGAATGTGAATTTTTTTTACATAATATTAAATGATTCCACTTCAAAATGGCGTAGAAATCTTTCGTGACAAAATTTCACACATGCGCTACTATGCAGGTGATAAGATGTACATGTCAATCTAGCAAATGTTCCACTTCTAATGGCACTATGATTAAACCCTCACACATGCACTGATGTATGCTGTACAAGTTGTACAATAAGATAATACCGATATGGTATTAGAGAGTCGTTGGGCGGTCTATCTAAAATCTTCAAAAAAAGCAATCAAATAAATTTATTTTTGGCCTGCAAAGATGCAGTCTCCACTCAATTGGATTTGTCTACCAATGGACACCCGAACATGGCGGGATGTTGATAAACATATATGTATATGATATATTACAACATTGATACAAGTGAACTAAACTCTACAACAAACAGCAGCCTTTGCTACCTAGCATGTATTGTTGAAGTCGTCACATCTATTGTAGATTGATGTCTTTGCCTACTTGAAGATGAATCTGCATCAGCGGAACTTAGCTGACTCCAAGATGCAGGTTCTTTAGGAAGAGGCAGAGCAAATGTTTCGTTGCTTAGCATCGAAACAACATCCGACATGTTTGGTCGATCCATAGCTCTTTCTTGCACACACAAAAGACCCACCTGAATGCATCTGGTAACTTCATTACTCGAACAAGAACCAGACAATGTCGAATCCATCAATTCCTTGCTCTTGCCTTCTTTCCACAAGCTCCAGGCCTAAAATACACAGCCTAATTTCAAAAATTGTAAATAAAAAAAAAATTAGTACACACATTGCCACATTTACAGAATTTACTTACATTGCCTAGTAAGTTTAATGGATCATCAGCCTCAAAGAAGGCAATGTTCTTCTTGCCACTTATGATCTCTAATAAGATCACTCCAAAGCTAAACACATCTGATTTTTCGGAAAAGAGGCCGCCCATGGCATACTCAGGAGACATATAACCACTAAAATCAGAGGTTAAATGCATTAGGAACTGAATTAATTAAAGAAAAAGGTACAGAGACCATTTATATCAAGACCAATAGTGGTGTATGAGCATTATGTTAATTCTGGGAAAATAACATGCAGCAAAACCTTTAACTTACAATGTACCAACAACCCGGCTTGTTTTTCCTTTAGTGTCACTGTCTGCGAAAATTCTTGCCATGCCAAAATCCGATATTTTAGGGTTCATGTCACTATCCAAGAGAATATTGCTTGTCTTTAAATCGCGGTGAATGATCCTTAATCTTGAGTATTTGTGAAGATACAGGATGCCTTGAGCAATCCCTTCAATAATGTTCATGCGCTTTCTCCAATCCAAAAGCTTCCGTTTGGTTGAATCTGCACTCAATCGAACAAAATCAATGAGAAAATACGGAAAAAATTATAACACCAACATTAAACATATATAGAACATGTAAATAGCTAAAAGATCAAACTGCACAAACCAAAAATGAAAGAATCCAGGCTTTTGTTGGGCATATACTCATAAATTAATATACTTTCTTCTCCTTCAATGCAGCATCCCAAAAGCCTAACCAAATTCCTGTGCTGAAGCTTACAAATAACTAACACTTCGTTTTTGAACTCCTCCAAACCTTGCCTCGAAATTTCGGACAACCTTTTCACTGCAATTTCCCTCCCATCCACTAGCAAACCCTGCAATTGATAATTTTCATTATATAAAAATCAAGCACGCTGAAGGTTTCAAAAAATTAATCTTGACAAAGACGAATACAATTATGATTAGCTATGTAAAGCTGTGTATTAACTGACGGCTTGCCTTATAAACAGGGCCAAATCCACCTTCACCCAGTTTATTAGCCTTGGCAAAGTCATTGGTCGCAGTTTGTATGGTAGAAAAACTAAACAAGGGTAGTTCTTGATCCTTTTGCCTGCCTAATTCCATCATATTCACAATTCTATCTTCGTTATATTGAATTGGTGACACGTTGGTGGAACCAATTTGGACTAATCTCACTTGATCCGAATTGATAATCTCTTCTTGTTTCCTTGCTTCATCTCCTGCTTACATTAAGTAGGAAAATAGTGTCAATCATTACGGACATTGAGCAATGCAACCTAGCTAATTACAATCACATAAACTGATCAAACCTTGAAGTCTATTTCCATAATGCAGATAGCAGCATAATGATATTGGCATAAGAATCAAGAGGAAAGCCAAAGGAACTGCGATAGCCAGCCAGAGTTTCAATTTTTTACCATCTGAAAAGTGAAAGACAATGCCAACATTTTGCTAGTAAGTGTTAAATTACACTAACAAAAGTTACAAAATTGAAGGAATAAAAAAATTTGCTTAAATCCCACCATCTACTAAGAGAGAGATTTGAACTTGAGTGCAAGCGGGTTGACACACTGTCTTAACCAACTAGTCTCCTAAACCCTTTGAAATCAATGTCTTCTTGACCGAGTTTGAGATCTCTCCAATAGACCTTTCTATTTTGCAGGATATAATTTACCTCCAAAGTCTGTTTATAATACTGGAATCGTTTCATGCGTATATTATTATGTACAAATTTTTGTTTGAAGGTGTATATTATATGCAAGTTACAACCTTTAACTGCAGCTATACGCTATCGAACAAGAATATCTTTTCAGAATAATATATAAGTTATATATTGTGATTATGATCGATATATATAGTCGTCTCGCATATTTTTTTCATTAAAATACATTGATTAATTACATAAAGTCGAACAAGAAAACTAAAGAATTCCAAAGTACTTAATACGTTTCTGAATAAAACTACATGTTGATTAAACAATGCACCAAGATAAGAATATAAATTCGCTATTTGGTTGTCACCATGATCCAAGCATATACTAATATATTTTTTTTATGTTACCTTATTAATTATTGCAAACTAGCATATACTACGTATAGGAATGTCCTGTTGTACTTAAAGTAGTTGTCTTGTTATTATTATACTAATGTGAATAATTAATCTGGGATAATCTAATAATATAACATGACAGATCATATAATAAAAAAAACCAAACTTTTGATTGTATCTTGCACACCCTTATTTTGTTCCTATTCCTAAATTTTTATTTATTTATTCAATTTAGAAGGCTGAAAATAAATACAGCTATATCGAGGAAGAAAATATGTACGTGGAAATCACTTCTCTTTTCGGAACAAGGAATGAGTCAAAACCCTCAACCTCTCTCTCGAATCAAAACAGAAGGGATTTTTGGTTTGGTCAGTTAAATTTAAGACATTAATAGTTCTACTTACCACTTGAAGAAGTACTACCACCACGAATGTAAATAATCCCAGTGCCCTTCTCATCAACAATCTTCAAAAGATCCTTCTTACTCTGATAATAAAGTTGACAAACTGGTTGACCATCCTGAACCGCAACAAATGCAGTGCAAGAACAATTGCTCTTGCACAAAGTTTCACAATCACTAGTACCCATATAAATGGATCCATTATTAGACGTAGATGGCAACGAACCATTCATCACAGAAAAATCATCGCCATGGTCACACATAGATGGTAAAGTCGCCAAACATTTTCCAGTATTACCCCCGCTCGAGTCCTCACACAAACCATGACTCACAGACCAAATATTCCCGTTCGCCAAAAAAAACTGGTCCAAATTTCCAGTTGAAGACATGACAAACCATATGAGGTCGTACTTCTTATTGTTGCTAAAAGTGTAGTAGGCAGCTTCTTCATCAATGGTTTGGTACCTAAAAGTGTAGTCATTATTTTCAGTTGTGTTGTCAAAAATAAACCTTAGGTGTTGTCCATCCCAGAACGCGATATCCATCTGGCGTCCATCTCCTCTCCAAACAGTAAGCTTTGTGAAGTTGATCCGGTCCATGGTTAAAGTGAAGGGACCGCGAGCTGGGTTTTGGGGGCTTGCCCAAGAAACAAGGATGTTATAGCTTGGCTGGGTTGTGTTTAGTTCAAACAACCCTAGTTCCATCCCAGGAAGATATGTATCACTTGGTACATCAAAACTTTGCCATATAACAGTACCTACGGATAGAAATCCGACGTATTAGATATGCGAACAAAAATCTCTGAGGGTCTGAAAACACAAAAATGTCTGAAAATATTATATATAGAATTTTGGCATATAAAAGTACTAAAGTTAATAACAGTTGATCAATAAAAAGAAAGAGATATACTATGAAAACAAATGTTGTATCTAATAGGGCTACATGTTAAAAAGGGGAATATTGGGGAAATAGAAATGATATACTATCAAAATCTCAGACCGTGCCTGTATCTGCTTCTTTAAGCACAAAATTTCCCGTGTCCAGAAGCGTTGCAGTTGTGTTGGGTGAGGAGGCAACATTTGCTGCGTTGACTATGACTTGCACTAGTCGACGGTCAGAGAGAAGCAGATTCCCAGACCGGATTTGTAGCACACCGGAGGAATCCAATATAGCAACATCGCGGTTACCAACCCAGACAACCTTGGTGGCATCAGCTTTGAACCAAATTCCCAGGTAGTGATATCCCGAAATAGTTTCGGTGAAGAAGCCAAGCTCGAAAATTCCACCGGCTGAGACTAGGGTTTGGTTGTCTGTCAGCATGTCTGCAGGTGTGAGTGTGTCTTTTGCAAGAGATGGAGATGAAGAGAAGGAAGAGAAAGAGATCAAGAAAATTGTAAGAGGAAGAAACATGGCCATTAATTTACAGAGATTAAGGTGCAGATCTGATCATGGATTATTTGAAACTAGAGAGTAGAGAGATCTAGGTGAAGATCCAGCTATGATCTATCCAACAATGAAAACCCAGCTAGACGCTTAGCTAGCTGAAGCCTCATAATTTTCATTGTCAACTGTTTGAGGTTGTCTATATTCTGAGCCAGATTGAACTAGAAATACATATATATTTATGTATATTGGTCAATAAATTACCCACAAAACCGGCTTACAGTTTTGTACAAACCAGTTGACCCAAAAAATTACAGTTTTTTTTTTTTTTTTTTTTAAGATAAAAATATTAAAGATACATAGAATCCAACAGAATTGCATGCCAAAGAATCGAACACATAATTCGCTTCACATAGTGACAAACTGACAACTACATGTTTTCAAAGTCATCTTAAACTTTAGACATTGAATAATTCTTAACTTTCACCAAATTAAGAAAATTCTTATCTTTCAATCCCTGTACGACTAAATAATAAAATTAAAACTCAAAAGAGTATAGCTCTAGTACTACTGCATATACTTTTGAGTAAAGTTATAATACTAGTAGGTTAAATAGTTAGTTGTTGGGAGAGGAGAATAGGTAGGTATAGTACTCGTACGATAGTGCATAAACATAGTTGTTTTCTGCCATTACAGTAAAACGCCATTTTATGAAGGGTGCGTTTTTGCTCGTCACCTTCAAGTGGTAGTAATGCTCATCACTCTATTTATCATTGTTACATAGTTTAAGTTTTGAGATCATCTAATGATAAATAGGATGATGAACATCACTATCACTTGAGAATAATGAACAAAAATATTCCCTTCTATTAAAAAACCAAATATGCGATTCTGGCATAAGAACATTACTATATCCTATTTTCCGACATAAAAAAATTGTTTACTTTTTTTTCTTCTTTGGCATAAAGAATGGACGATGACCACAGAGGTGGGTGTATTGACTTTGACAATATCAAACTTTCTTTCAGAAATGCTGATGAGATTCTCAAAGTGGGATTTTTTTTAGATGCTGCTACCTCACAGTTTAACATTAGTTTTCATACTAATATTATAAAATATTATGTAAAAAATATGAATTAAAGCATCAATGCAGAGTCCAACTTTCAAAAGAGTCCTTACATTTATCGAAAATCCTGGCCAGATTTTATCAACAAAATTCTGGTCAAAGTTGAGCTTCCCTTTGGTTAATCAACTCAACGCAAATATAGTGAACCTTGTTAATAGAAAGATATTAGATTTGATAATGATAATGTCCAAGCCCTAAGTTGTAGGCGCATATCCAACAGAGTTTCAAAAATATCAAATTTAGTGCTTGGATCCGGCCCATTATTTAAAACCAAGCCCATTAAGACCAGCCCACATCAACATTAAATTACAATTCCCGCTTGGTTTTTAAAATCCCGCTCTCTTTTATTTTTCTTTTTAAGCGAGAAAATAAATTAAAAGAAAAATGTAAAAACTCACATTTTCTCTCAGACTTTCACATTTTCTCACCAGAGGTTAGTAAAGTGGGGAAAATGCAGGCGGAGAATTGTAGGGTTAGGGTTTCGATTAAGCTTCCGAGTTCACACCATGGATTCACCTGAAATTCCCAAAATCAAAGACAACACTTCACCTTCCTCAGATTCTCCTCCAGTTCAAGTAAATTTGTTTTTACTGCCAAATTTCAATCTTTCTGTTTTTGGATTAGGGATTTTTTTTACTTCCTTATTTGTGATAATTTTTTAATCTATAGGTATATCTTTACCCTTTATTTATACCTCCTTTTTGTTGTGATTTTTTAGTAAAATTATTGTCTATTTTTGTGAAATGGGTGATTTGTGGATGTGGGTTTTGGTTTAATTTTTGTGGGTTGAGGTTGGTGGGGTTGGTGCTTTGTAGGGGTAGTCAAAGTTAGGGTTTTGGACATTTGGAATTTGAGGGTTTAGTGGTGTTTTGTTGGAGAAGTTGAATTTGTGATTTTGGGGTCTTTCTCAATGTGCAATGCAATCGGTTTTCTGCTAGTAATTGATGATCAAACGTTGAGTCGAGGCGTTAGTAGTTTGTCATTTCTGTTTCTGAATTGAGTATTGGCAATGTTGGTAGGAAATTGAATCTTTTATTCATATATGTTTCCTCTAATTCAGGAGTCACCAGTCTTCAGTTACATAAGCAATTTATCACCAATACAGCCTGTGAAGGCTTCACATGCAGTGCAAGGGTTCCCGGGACTTAGCTCTCCTCCTCTTGTGTTCACGTCACCACGCATAAATACACTCCGGGAAACAAGTTTCCTGAAAAGGTCCTGTATACATTAAATTCTAGTTCCAATTGTTTTTTTCTTGGGCAGTCTCTTTGTTGTTTCCGTATTTGCTCACTTTGACAGTTTCATTATTTTTACCAGGCCTCAATACCCGCGATTATCCAGTGTAGAAAAAACGAAATCACATGATGAAGCCAGGAAGTTTGTTGATGGTACAGTTGATTCCAGGAAACATATCACCCAACTGCAGATGGGATTGATTACTGATACTCAGGACTGTGAGACCAACAGTTCCTCGGAGGGTGTCGATGAATACTTAGCTGATCCCATGGAGATGGACAGTACGAATTCTTGTCAATCAGTCAATCCATGTTTGAAAGAATCTATCAATGCATCTGAATCTGAGGCACCACCAGAGAAGGCTAAAGAGGACCTTGACGGAAAGCAATTTGATGCAAAACCTGTGAAAAATAAAGAGCATAGTGATGGTGAGTTGCCATCTTCTGAGTGCCCAAAGGTTGGATCCGGCTTATCCATCGATAATGCTTTCAATGGGGAGTATCACCAAGGTTTTCATAATCAGGTAACTTCAGATTCTTGGCTTTACATTATAAAGAAAAGGACTAGGACATTTGATTACAAGGGATGTGATTGTTCCACATGTTCTTACAATTGATCCAAATTTTAAGTTACAGGGTATCGGAGGTAGACACCAGGATGATTGTGATCATAACCCTCCATCTCCTCCTGGACGTTTGCAGATTGGTCAGGTGTATGAGGATTGTACAGAGAAGGTTGGTGGAACCTCAAAGGGAATGATTGGAAACATGATATTGCATGCTCCTAATAAGGTATGCCATTTCATCTGAGTTTTTAGTTACTGTATGCTGCTAGGATATAATTAATTTTTTCTCGTATAATAACTGCAAGATTATTGTAGGCCAAAAATGACCAAGGTGGCATGCATAGACGTTGCCTTCAGTTTGAAGAGGCACCTCCTTGTGCGACTGGAAAAGGAGACAGCTCTTCTGTAGAGAAAGTTAACAATTCAGAACCACCTGCCAGCACAGCAGAATTGGAGATTGTGCAAGTACCTTATGCAGCAACTTCCAAGAGACAGATGGGAGCCTCATTGCCACCTCGGTATGGTGGAAGCTCTCCTTTAACTGTTCCCAAACCATCAGGTATTGGCTTGCATCTAAATAGCATAGTCAATGCTGCACCCGTTGTTCGTGGTGCAACAACCATAAAATTAGCAGATCACTACATTGGTGTGCAAGTTATGAAATCATCATCTGTTGTGAACCACCATTTACCTGAGAATGTGAGGGATGAAACTGAGAATTCTATTGCCACAAGCTCCTCCATCACCCAGTCTCCCCATACTGTGGAATTTGAGCGTCATGGATCTCCACCCGAGAAGAGCAAATTAGATTCTCAGAATCTTGATAGTTATCTGGAGTTGAACCAATCTAGCTCACAAAAGAAAAGGTCAGAGGCATGGTCTTTTATGTAGTGTGGTAAGATTCATTCATCATATCTGTCTGCAGTTCAAATACGTGTTTGTGTATGACCCTCCAGGAAAAAAACACCAAGCTCTAAAGATAGTGACGGGTGCAAGCGCTGCAACTGTAAGAAGTCCAAGTGCTTGAAACTGTAAGTTGATCTACTTTTTGTTAAATATTATAAGTGCATATTTGTTTGTCACATTTTAATACATTTCTTTGCAGTTATTGCGATTGTTTTGCTGCTGGAGTCTATTGTGCCGAAACTTGTGCTTGCCAAGGATGCTTTAATATACCCGATTATGAAGATACGGTTCTTGAGACGAGACAACAAATTGAAGCCCGTAATCCACTTGCATTTGCTCCTAAGATTGTACAGCTAGTGAGTTTCCAACAAAATTGTGGTACTAAACCCTTTTCAGTTACTGATGGTATGCCTTAATCTTGTAAACTGAACGATTGTATTTGCTTGTGACAGGAAGAAGAAATTCAATTTACACCAGCCTCAGCAAGACACAAAAGGGGATGCAATTGCAAAAAGTCAATGTGTCTGAAAAAATATTGTGAATGCTATCAGGTCTTGAATACTATCTATATTTCCATGCCACAGTGTTTGTTATCTTTTCTTTTCAGTTCATCTTACATTTATGAATTGCTTCATCTCAAAGGCCAATGTTGGATGCTCCAGTGGATGCCGGTGTGATGGATGTAAAAATGTTTATGGCAGAAAGGGAGGTAAGCCTCTAAACCAAGAAACAGTGTTTCCCAATTCCATGTGATAACATTTGTAGTGTACTTGTTTTACTATGGATAACAAAGAATGTCCCCTTCATATTTATAGAATAGTGTATTCATGCCATATAGTCTAGTATGTTGTGTTGTCTACTTGTTGAAACATGATTTCACATATCAATGGTCTTGATAGACAACCTAGAAACAGAATTAAGAAATCACCTGACAAATAGATCATAGAATATTACATAATTTTAGTGTATTCATCAGAAGTTACTTTTATCTAAAGCATAATGCCTAAAAGAATAGGCTTGTGAAAGTAAACTAGAAAGAATTGTTGCTTTGCTGAAAGATATCTGGAACTACACACAAGTATTTGTTTGTCAGAAAAGTTGATCAGTTGGACTCTGTTTGTCTTAATACTGCACTTCAATCTCGTTTTCTATAGATTATGTTCCAATAGAACATGGTGTGCTTAAAGACACGATTAGTGACAAAGCCGGTAAGGAAACATTTGATGAGAAGCTGGAAATGGTGGCAACAAAGAAAGATATTTTGTCTACTGATTTGTATGATTCTCACAACCACACTCCATTGACGCCATCATTTCACTGCTCAGAGTAAGAATCATTGATTTTGAAGTCAC